GCCTGTAAGCTTTGTCAACAGATTTCAAATCATAGCAGGAGATTACACCTAGATCCCTCATGAAAGGCGGGGTATGTAGCGTTTAGCTGTCGAGGAGGTAAGTTCAGCCATAACGAGCTTTCCTCATGGTCATGAACACCGCCTTTGTTGGATTAACGTGGAGGAGGACTTATGCATACCACATGTAGCAGCAGTTGTTGTCTTGCTGAAGTAAGCCGCAGTCGTCAGGGATGCTAATCACTCTCCAACTCTTCAGGTCATCCGCAAACAGGGCACAGAGTGACCGAAGAAGCTATGGTAGATCGTTGGTATGGATTAGGAACAAAATGGGCCCCAACACGGGGCCTTGGGGTGCGCCACTATTAAAGCGATACCAGTCACTTTGATGGCCGTCGACCTCTACCCTTCACTTTCGGCCAACGTGAAATTCCCGGATCCACTGGTTCAGTAAGCTAACAACACCGCACGCTCTCAGCTTGCAAAGGCGGACCTCGTGGTTTACTTTGTCAAACGTTCTACTAAAGTCGATGAAGCTCACTTCGGCAGATTTCCCTTGGTTCACTGCTCGAAACCATCCATGCATCGTCACGAGCGAGCTGTTAATGCACGAGCGGTTTAGCATAAAACTGTGCTGTGTATTTGTCATTTGATCTTTTTATTGGGGCAGCAGTAGTGCATCCTTCATTATCGTCATTACACACGTTAGCTAAGGGTGGGGAACACAGCTGTTGTGCGACGATACATACAAAAGCAGAAAAAACGTGCCACGGACTCACGCCGGTTGGGTCACCTGTAACGGGTGGACATCGTTCCCGTGAGCTAAAAGCCAACTACTGTACCGCAGCAAAGTTATATCATGCCTAATAAATGAGATCGTGGTTGGAGGGGGAGGCTAAGCAAGAGGGAAAGGAGCCAAAACACTCACAACACATATTCCATTGAGATCGGCTCCTAGCCATGTCATCAGGCGTATCCAGATAAACGTGTTCATCGTCCTTCGAATCCCAGCCGGGGAGCCGAAAGGCTCCAACCGAAGCCACCTTCGAAATAAGGGCCTTTATTCCTCTTGACCAACTCATCGCTTGGCTACCTTTCCTATTCTTCCACCCGCACCCCCGGCGAGAAAACAACGCATTGCATTGTGCACTGTACTTTTCAAGGAGAGATTCAGGGATAAATCTCAGACGCACGATGTGACCACCAGTATTCACGGTCTCTATTCAGGCTAGCACGGATATTTGCTTTGAGATCTTTGCGAGTCTCATTTCGTTCGCTTTCAGCCGGAATGCATCGGCGAGCGTTCAGCATTTCTAGAGACTGCGAAGAGACCCAATGTCCATGTTCGCCATTCCATTTACCACTTGCGGACTTGCCTGTTGCTAATAAGGTCTGGTGAAACTGCGACCAGTGATTTTCATCTGTATTCAGTGAGCGCTTGCTCAATCCCAGTGCCAGCGCACTTCGTTACCATTTCGGAACGTCTGGCTTCGTCAGTTGGCGAGTGTCTATACGCTCACAGGGTCCTCCAGGGTGTCCACCAAAACGCACTCGAAGACCAACGCATACAAATCAGTATCCATACATGTGCTTCAAATCGAGCGACAGTTTTGGACGCAGCTTCTCTAGTGTTGACTGATCGCAATGTGATCGATTTGCGTTCATGGCTGCGCGCCATGTCACCCTCCGGCGGGTGCAGTTTCAGAAGTTTGTGCTCGCAAGAAATAAGTGAGCATCTTCACACAAATGAAGTAATCGCTCACCGTTATCATTACGAGAGCCTACACCATGTGGGCCGCCCAGTTTTAACTCATCACTGAACCATTTTCCAACTTGAGCGCTCAGTTCTCCGTCAGCACTAGTGTCCATGCTTCTTCTGTGGCGAAGGAGCTCCTTCAGTTGGCGATAAAAGCCGTTTTTACTGAGTCAGAATCACCGTTTGTAGCGGCGTAGGCAGCGATGTTAAATGGACATTTATTAGCCCTGCGCTACTTCGAGGCTTGTACAAGCCACTCAGTGGGACGGCACATATGCGGTTGCTGATTGTGACCCAATCACCAGAGCATCTTCAGCCCGGGGGCTCAGGGCAATATCAACACCAGCTTGGTCGACACTCGAAGCTGCATCGTCTTCGGATAGGCACAGTGAGAAAAGCACTGCTAGTGTCACGTGGCCGGGTTGCAAAGTAAGCACAGAGCTCGAGCCTTGTAGGCCGGTTTCAGATAGACAACGCGTATCGATCAAGAGGGCCACTAATATTCGGGCAATTGCTGTCTCTTGACCGATTTGTAACAATGTGCGTACGTTGAAGCCTGCCAATCGGATGGAGGATGGGGGCTCCAACTAGAAGCCGTTGGACTGAACTTGACCACTTGGTTACACATGGGTTTGTCGACAGGGCAGGAGTGACATTCCGCGTTTGCATTTGTTGAGACTAGAAGATAAACGCCTATCAAAGCCTGGTTGGGGAGGGCCAAGATTTTGTGGGTGAAAACGGGGTTAAAAGTGAAGTTGGGGTTGGATGGTAAGGATTAAAATGCTTAAAAGTCGTGAACGCTTGAGCGGTAGCATCCCAACCCCTATCCACTTTTCTCGATGCAGTAGATAGTGTTAGCACTTCAAGTTTTCTCACTTCTCCGAATTAAACCCCCCAAAAATATCTGCAAGAACTCTAGCCCAGCCGAAGAAAAATCAGAAGTCCAACGACCTTGATCAAGGAAATAAGTGTTAACAAAACATGTTGCCAAAACGCTGTACAAATACGGCAGGCCTACGCCAAATATATAGGTAGCTCAATGGCCTTCAGCTTCTAGAAAACGGAGGTCAACTGGTAAAAATAGCAGTTTCCTTGTCAACTCTCAGTATGTTGGAGGGAATGGAAGGTTCCGGAACCTTCGAAATCGATGCACAATCAAAGATAACCGATTGATTGCTAAAATAATGGGTTTACCTTGATTTTTCACCTTTTCCCCGATAGATAGGGCGCCATTAATAATCCTCTACGGCGGCTAGAGCATCAAGAAATGCTTTGAATAAAGTAAATAATATAAAAATGTTTATTCTCGATGCTACACGCGACACACCAACGAAGTCATTGTGTTGTATTGTGTGTGCAGGATACTGGCAGGTTACCCCTTCCTGGACAGGAGAACTAGTTGGGTTCTCAGCCAAAGCCTATATTTCAAAGTACCTTACTTCAAGCCAGCGAGTTTGGCAGTGGATTACAAGGAGTCCGTTTTAAGTAATAATGAGCCACCTTCACTCCAACCGCCAACTTGCTGGTCCAGGGGACTATGTTTGTCAGGCCTCTAACCATTGACCAATCTATAATGACTGGCCTTGAAGATGCAAAAAACACTACCCAACATAGCTCAACGGATCACTGAGGCACACAAGCTATCGCATCACATTAAGTTCCAGCTTCGTTGTGATCCTTCTTCATGATTTTCTCAGCAGCCTTTGCCGAAACCGGTGTCATACAAATTGGCTTATAGTTGTCCACTTTGTGCAGTCACCGACTTTCAACATCAGCTTTACCACTGAACATTTTCAGTCGTTCGGCAATTAACCGTCCCACAGCGACCTGTTGTAAATTCAGTCACGATAGTTGAGATACTGGCTGATAGGGACTTGAGAATCAGTGGGTGGGGTTCGTCAGGACCAGAATATGTATGTCGTCAAGCTTAACCAGTAGTCGATGCACCTCTACAACACAGCAATTGAATTGTGGAGTTTGGCATATGCGGTACACGTGAAACTCTATAAAGACGCCTGCTCTTTTGCCAATACGGAAGCGAAGTGCATCACAAACGCAGGCACACGCTCAGTGTTGGAGGTTAGGGGCTTTTCTATCCAGTCCTCTTGCACTGGTATGCATCAGGGGTCGCTTCAGTAAGCAAAGGTTCTCTTCGGGGCAGCGGTTGCGAGCTGCTCGTCGAATTATCGATACTTACTTGTTTGTGCGCTGTTGCTTAAACGCCTCTTAATCGTTGGAAAAGAGCAGAGAGGAGGAATTTGTCCCACGGTCTGCACCGCTGCCGAGTCACTTTACAATGTCACTTCATTTTAATAGCAGTTCACCGGTCTTCCACAGATGTAGCCTGCGGTAGAGGCTAATCCACTTCGTTCGCGGATCTAGCTACACCGTCGAAGTCAGTTTTCCATTATTTGTACGCTACCTCCAGTGGACCGGAATACGTCCAAGGTAGTTCTACGCTGGCTATGAGCACCGAGTGATCGCTTGCTGCCAGGAGCTCCAGAATCTGTATGTCATTCACACGACGTTCACATCTTGTTTGCATTAAATCTAGGCACGGCAGTGTAAAGCACAGCTTTCACACAGACACCTGTGCTCGTATGACACGAAAGATTCGTGTCAGGTGGAAATGGTCTGCCCGCAACCACGGGACTTCGTGTCTTTGAGTTTGCACGGGACGAGTAGGATGACTTTTTACCTAAACACCTAGAGCTGTTCACACTTGTGTTGTACGTAACTGAACTCTGATCCTCGTGCATTTCCTTGGTACACCACTAAGACCATGGACCTCATCAGGAATCACTACAACACATCGTGTGCTTACATTGCCATTGCTCTTAATCTAGACGGCATTTCACACTTTAGCTAGAATTACCGCCTGTAGTATGAGGGTTAACTTAAATCTCTAGGTTGTGACGGCCTGGTCATCCTTTTATTACTACCGAGTTCGCTCACAACATTCTTTTGTGTTAATGTATCTTTCACATTGATTCAATCACTTTAATAGGTATCCATCGATAGCAATTACCGATTAATGGAAAGCATATTGTTATATAGGTTTACTTTATCCGGTTCTAAGCACATTATATCCATTAAGCTATCATCTGGATCGTACTTTTTCTACCCTAGGTTGTTAACATGCCTTCAACGTTTCCATTTTTTTACTGTGAAACTTGTTTAGAAGACGGTAGTTCGCGAGCTCCTATTCTTGCTCATTTGCGCTACCTTCATCCTTCTTTTTTCTCAGGCCTCGAAATTTACCAAATCCGAGTTGAAGAAGCTCCTTGACGAAGTTAACCGTGATACCGAAGACGTGAGTTTACTATTTGTTAAGCCTGTCACCTACCTGGTGTACACCAGTGTGACGCGTTCGATATTAGTGTACTTTTCGGAGACTTGGTCAATGTGTGCTGAGAACATCAAGAGATTGGTCGTGTTTCGCTACCACACACCTGATGCCGCATTCGGGTGCTGAAGTCGAACCGCTCAAGTTACTTGTTCTGCATGTCCATTAGCATGTTTCATCTGCTGGTGTTGTTTAGCAATAACGCCCATCATTGTATGAAGCTCGGAAATGGCTAGCCAATACAGTGGGGAAGTGCATGAAAAAAAAATCCTGGGATTGCTGACTAGAGCTGGTGACAGTCATCTTCTCGGATGAGTATCGGAAGATCAGCCACCTGATTGGTTCGATGCGTTTTGAGATGTGGCGTAGTTGCGAAGTCGATTGTGCTCTTGCGTTCCTTTAATTATTTTTCACTTTTTGACTGCTCCATCTGGTCACTGTCGATTTTAACCCCTTCCTCCGACATCTACTCCTTGTTGCTTTTAACTTTAAAACTGTTGCTTTTATATTCATTTTTGTTGTATGATTAATGCATTAGTCTTACAACTTATACATTCATACTTCGGATTCCTTTTCCTCCCTGCGCTTAAGCGCTTTGGCTGTGCCCTAACCGTACCACCACTGTTCGCGTTCACATGGTAGCCAGGTATCAATTTAGTGTCTTTTCCTTTTAATAGTCTGGTGGCGTGCTTCATTATAACTTGATCCGCCACACAGTAACACGGATTGTCTTCTATCAACTGTAACTGCAGCGCGGAAGGTGACAAAGTGTGAACCTTTGTGCTGGAAAGCAGTGTTGCTAAAATAAATATTGTGGTCGTCGCATAGTTGCAGTAATCCATCACCACTGTCTGTTCGGCAATCACCGACGCTGAGGTGGCCTTCTACGTGTTCAGAATATGAAAGGCTACCCACTTGGTTATTCATGTCACCAACAGTAATCACGATATCAGAATACATGATAACTGTTGATAAAAATCGTTTTAATACCTTCTGAACGGCATTCACTGGGGGCATAAGCTGAGGCGATGAAAATGCACGTTGTCTTCAGACGCCGCTTATTAACTTTAATTGTAGTTCGAAGTCGGACAGCGCACATAGGGCTGTTCACCGGTATCCAGCCGAGCAGATTGCCTTCAGCATGTTTACTGAGAACAATATCAACACCTTACATACCTTGAGCCATTGACTCCGTATCACCGGAGACACGAAGTGTAACAATTGTCCTCAGATTCAGAACCAGGGAGTCGAAGTTTCGTCCCAACGCTGTTATCTTGTATGCGTGTTTCGGAGACACAGTATACATACCTATAACAAAATAATGAAGAGGGAGAATTAGTGCTGCCTACTGGCCGATCTGACTTAGAGTACAGACGTTAAAAGAATCAATGTGAAGTGAAACTAGGTTTGATGGAAGAGCTACATGTATCGATGGTAGCAGCTGCGAGGTCATCGGTGTTCTCTTGCTCAATGGCAGGGGAAGAAAAGAGTTGAGCGATGAGGGATAAACAAATGGAAGAAAAGGGAGTATTGTCGACTTGGTTGAGCGGGCCGATGGCTCTCTCTCTGGCTGCCCATTCCGGCAGAGCAGTTTGGTTTAATGCGCCCTCTTACTCAACTGTCTGATCCACAAGGCAGTGGCGTACGTGAAGGTTTGTTTAAGACACTCCACCCGGAGCCTGGCTCGTTAGTCTGACCCAAAAGGCAGTTTGGAGCAAGTGCAACTCGGGAGTGAATGCAGGGGTCCAATGGGATCTGCTTGAGGTCTGTCACGCACACCCTTGGAAAGCTTAAAATTATTCACATGTGTTTTGCGACCGTAGTATATGACTCACCTGCGACCACGGCCAGCCGCAGTTGGAAGTTGGCCGGTTTGCACTAATTTTACCGGGGGCTGCTTGGCTTGAGGCGGGTGGTAGCAAACCATTGAGCACTGAAAGTTGTTCTCCCACCCACATAGACCTTGCGTGGCGCTCGTGCTCAACCTCCGTTGACCTGTGAGCTTATGGCCCGTAGATCGGTTGTTTCCCATAGCTAGATTTTATTGAGAGTCATTGACCTCCCCTTACTTCTGAAGAGGATTGTGAGGCTTAGTCTGATCGCCAACCCTTGACCTGTCTGGTATGGGTGGCTCTGAAAGTTTTTAGTGCATGCCACCTAGCATAGCTCAATGGCTCACGGCGTACCCAAATCATCGCACCAAGTTAAGTTCCAGTCTTCTCCTACTCATTTTTGGGGTGGGGCGGCTCGGCTTGTTTTCCCTAATTTTTTCGCATAGGAACTGCACGTTACAGAATTTTGTGCAGGCTCAAAACCAATCGCATTTTCATCTGCGTACTTCCCAACCTTTTCCTTCTGGTTTTCATCGCCTATGGTGTGTGTGCGGCGCTACACAGTTACCTAATTTTTCTTCCTACACGCTGGAGCCATTGCCGTTATCGATGGTTAAATCTGTAACCGGAGACCACCTAACCTATTCCGATCCTTTACCTCAACAACCTGTTCTTCAGGGTTGCGCACTTCAAGAGCGCGACTATGGAATTCTGCAACTATCTTTTTGGACCCTGTAAAATGCTATCATGATAATTTTGAAATTCGTAGAAAGTAGAAGTCTTGATTAAACTGCACACAATCTACCTCGACGAGGAATCGAAACCCGGTCCCACGAATTACCGGTCCACTGCTCGACCACTGAGCTACCGAGGGCTGACGGTCAGGTGCGCAATTTAACACCTGACTTCTGCTTGGTGCGCGACGTATTGCCAATAAGCTCACAGTACCTGTCCTGGTGTTACAGATTGGCTCACTCACCCGTCACTTCCCAGTGGACCGAAGTATCTGTCTTTTTGATGTCCAAAGGACCATGGTAGATTAGAATCAAAAGAGTGTTAGGCGAACAAGCTTGTTTTCGGTGGTTCGCATCATGCCAACACACCACAGATGATAGGAATAAATCAAACACAGTGTATTTAGATACGAGGAATCAATGAAGTGAATTGACCGGTTAATGCGACCAAGTGACCACACTGTCTTGGGTATCATTAGTGGAATGGTCAAGCGTGGTGTCGTAACATGGGGAAGCTTGAGGCCATGGTAGCTGTAGAGCCTGTACAAACTTCTTTTGGGCACATAATTCGGGATTGTGGACCCGAATAGCGATTGCTTCCGATTTCGCCTATTGGCGACATCGGAGGGCTCGCGTATGGCGTCCAGATATCTTGTAGATAGGCCGGAAGTCCTCTCGCACATTCACTTGGTGATTTATGTCGGCCAAATACCCCAGCACCGCGCTGACTACTGTCTTTCTGACACCAGTGTAGAGCCACGCCGAGCAATGTTCACGGACTCTCAGACAGTCTCCTGGTCGCCTTTCCAATATAACTTGCCCGACACGAGCAAGAAAAATGGTCCACACAGAAGGAAATATTCGACCTCGGCAATCTATCCTTGAGATGCTGGCTCACAACTGGCGTAGAAGTGAAGCTGACGCGGAGGTCAGCTGCAAAGTAGGTTCTCGCTGTTGCATTGCAGAGCCGTCGAGTAGTTCGTTCTGCTATCACATCACCTTTGAAAGGCAGTGATAAGTAGATTAAGCGCTTTTCAGCGGTGATTGGTTGGACTTTAGGTGCTCGTGACTCCATGTGCCTCCGGATGAATTTGTCCGGATAACCATTTTGTTCGAGAACGATTCGAATAAAACTCAGTTCATCTGACAGCGTATCTTCCGTGCATATTTTCCTCGCTCTTTCCGTTAGACAACGGACAAGGTTGCGTTTTTGACCCATTGGAATAAAACTGGCGAAATGGGTATACTGGCCGGTCCAAGTTGTCTTTCTATGTACTCTCCTTTGTACTGTCCTGTCTGATGTTCTGGTGATGTGGACATCTAAGAATGAAAACGAGTTGTTACTTTCATGTTCTATGATGAACACTATGACCATTCCACTAATGATGCCCAAGCCAGTGTCGCCTCTTGATCGCATTGACCGGTCAATTCACTTCATTGATTCATCGTATTTAAATACACTGTGTTTGATTTATTCCTATCATCTGTGGTGTGTTGGCCTGATGCGAACCACCGAAAACAAGCTTGTTCGCCCAACACTCTTTTGATTCTGATGTCATCTCAGGGATTATTTTCTCAGATGGTAGATCACTTGTGGATTTTTGTGGGTAGTGTGATGTCCGTAGAAATTATCCCTGTTTTCTACCCTAGCCATTCATTTACCTGGCCCACCGTCAACTAAAAGGAACATTTACTTGGTTGCAATTGGTTGCCTAGGGAATATCCAACTTTCATACTCACGGTCGCATAACAGTCTTCTGTGGTCATCCACTATAATAACTTCCGAGGAGCTCACTCCAATCGAACTGAGCTGGTTTCATTTGAACCTTCTCTTCTACATGTGCATTTGGATTATAGACCACAAATTTTTCTTCTCCGACTTATTGTCAGTAGGTGTTTGAGATGCTTGGACAAAACTTCTTACCAGGACACTGTATCAGAGATGTACAAACCACTTCATCTCAATTATTGGTCTTCGTCACATTGGTTTTAACAACAATCCCATATTCCATATTTTACTATGCGTTTTTATTTTTTTTTACAGTAACTAACAATCCTTCTCTATTTTACACTCTGTTTGCGAATCGTTTTTCACACATAACATTTCGTTTCGCTTCCCACATGTAGTGTCTATCTTCTCCTTCCTTTTTGCAGATTATTCATGCTTTCTTAATAAGTACACATCGATTTCGCGTACGCACCTATATGCCTGCGAAAGTGACCCGCTTTCGAATTTTGACCTGGTACATAAGCAGTAGTGGGTAGCTATTGACTTTTCCGTAACTTTTAGTATTGCAGGTCATTCTTGATATTTGTGCCTTAGTTCTGAGTCATCATCATATCTTTGAATACTTTCCATCTATCTGCAGGGCGTATCTTTTCTTGAGGTCGCCTCTTGTCCGCCTCACTTGCAAGAGCTCTTGGATGCTCTGAAGCCAGATTCTTGCGATATCATTCTGTTCGTGCGTGGTTCTGAAGATAAGCTGGTTAGTGTCTGTTGCATGACTGACCTATTCTTTCTAGCTCACAGCACTCGGAAATACTAGAACCAATTTAGCGCGGTTGCTCTACGCTAAAGGTGAGGTTTTTCCGATGTAGTTTGTACTACAATGTGTCCCAAGAATATAATCCCTTTTTGTTCATCGTCTTCGCGGTCTACCTCGTAGTCCGCATTATACTGATATATTAAGTTCACTGCCAGTAACATCTGCCGTACTATAGTGAGTCACATCTGGTTCTTTACTAGCTCTCTCATATACAGTCGTCTCCATAGGTGACTGACGTTTTTGAATGACACCATTATTACCAGGACGTGTGGCAACTTTCATGGTGATGCAGCTACGGAAACAAGTACCACGACCACAGCCGAAACGTAGACTGCGGAACTTCGTACTTCGAAGATGTGAGATGCGATGTGCCGCACTATGCGACAGTTGGGTTTCTTCTGCGGCGGAACTATTCTTGTGCCTTATCCCTAGCAATCTCTCACCTAACAGAGACCCCACGCTTGAAAAATTTAGAAGACAGCAGCGAATATTTCACTGTGGTTTTGATCTCTTAATTGTATAGGATATTTGCAATTCATTGGGCGCTTTCCTTAGACTAGTACAGCAGTCCAGGATTGACAATCAGCTCCCACATCATTCCTGCGAAAATCTTCGGCATCTCCACAAACAGGTTCATTCATTCGAGTAGGTAAACAGTCTCCAATTTGTGGAACACCGTAATGATTGGATTTTTTTACTTATGGTGGAAACACGGTCATTGCACACCTGCCGGGATGGATTACAACTTGAGTCTCACTGATTCCATTTTTAGGACTACCTTGAAAATCATGCAGGTCTTTGATTTTCAGGCAATGGAAACGAAACAAATAACAATGCTTTTCACACAAGTTTTACTTTTTAATGGATGTAAATGGCGTTTTACAATCATTAGTTAATATCCACCTCCGTTTTGCGCTAGACATTTGGAAAGCACACTTTTCCTGTCGACTAATAAGATGATACCACATTCTAGTAACAGTAGAAGAGCAGTATGGAAACCAGGTCTTTCCATCTCAGTAGCACCAGTTCGCGCTTAGTCTAGTCAATGGTGAAAGCTTTTAAATCGTCATCCAGGTGGGTTAAACTGACTTAATCGACACTACAGCTTCTCAAAATACTGTACCCAGGTCCAAATTGATATGCATCTGAGTGAATCCACTGCTTGTCGTTCCAAACTATAACCTCATTCCCATACAATCCTCTTGCACGAATCGGGAGAGCCTTCTAATACTCTCCATTTTCCTTCCATTTTCATATCACGGCTCCTTGTCACAAACTAAAGCTCTTGGTTTGCACGGTGACCTCTGGTCAAGCACGAATTACACGCAATTTGAGTTGTGCCTTCGCATAGGTGTATTTTCTTTTGTAGACTTCATAAATTCATCCACGATTCATGTACATGAGACAAAGTAGTGAGTGCTCCTCAAACGCTTTCTGCATAGCTAAGTAGTCCTGGTTTTAAACCGCATTCTGTTCATTCGCGTCGTCACTCAGTAGTAGCTGACGCTGCATTTGTTTCACCTACTTGAATCACGAGTACAGTTGACAAGAATACAGTTTCTAAATTTGGAACTTCGCGAAGCCTGTAGGTGAGTGTTGTGCGTAGTTGCATTGTTTGACTCGAGACAATTTCTGCAGTTCACTTGTGAACCTTGAACTGACTTAAATGTTCTACCGTCGATGGCGATTTAATCCAGTTAGGTCATGAACAGTCCGTCTTTCACTGGCCGCCAAGTAACTTGCTGTGATCGTTTTCGCTGAAAAGTTGTGTTACTGATGTGCATGTCGTGATCGGCACACAACTGATGCACGCTGCTATCACCGTTAACACACTGAGCCTAAACACCGCGACTGGTTCCGAGCCGGTGTTCCGAACCTTGTATATAACATGGTCCTGCGCATTGCGCGAGCCATGCATCAGGGTCACCAGAGTCACGAAATATGTGGACGCAGCCGTCGGGATCTTAGTTTTTCAAACTTGTATGCATTGAGAAATCCTCCCATGTTTGTGTTTTTACGAGACAGCACACTTCAACTCCGAGGGAATGCGGTACTTTATCGGTTGTGTTGCGTTGATAAAACTGACGCTACACAGCTGCTTTTAAAGGGGCAACGTGTAGTATTATCATGAGCCTGGGAGATGGTTTATTTTCGCTGACGAGGTCATTGATGGTTTCTTGCTTCTTACTATGGGAAACTGAAAAGCAGAAGATACATGGCTGCCGATTCTTATGGTCAAATGATGCATCAGCTTCTCCTTAATGGGATCGTCTGACTCAGAAGGAGGGGATAAGCAACTGTTTGCTAGATTGAATCTACTCAGGGCTTCCGCTCAGTAGTATGACCCATAGGTCCAGTCAAGGAGAGCAACTGCTGTGTGACACTAAGATTTGCTGGTGGCCGGTCACACGCCGTGATAAAAGTTTCAGTGCTGGGAGTAAATGTGTACATTTTTCGGTCGTGTAGTGGGACACATCTGCGTCCATGATCAATTTTATGCGATGTTTACCTGTCAGTGTGTTCTTTGCGTTAATCAACTTGTAGGTACGAATATTGTTTTCTCGTCAGTAGAGATAACCGGTTCCGCTTGTGCTCCACGTCAACTGAGATGAGCTTATAGCTCTCATCAGTTGTCTCGTACGACCAAATTTTGACGATGAAGAGAATGATGCAACCGAGAGTGACTGGCTTTGCATCACTGACTGTTCAGCACGAGCGGTATGTCCGAGTGAACCTCCATACATCCTGAGCATTAGGCTATATCACTGTAGGGATATATATGTGCAATTGCTGAACACCCAACTCGAAATCATCTCAATGTTTTGAGTCATTATCGAGGGATTTTCACATGAGCTGCACTAAACCAACTAGCTACCACGTTACTTTCTAAAAATAACAATTGCCTAGGCGACTGTTTAATTTTGCTGGATGATTGGTCACCTAGCAACAATGACCGTATTTTCAGGGCCAACCTCATGCGCTTCAGTTTAGAAACACGTATGTGGTTAAATGATTAAGGATATCCTTATCACGTTTTTTCTTTTTTATCGCGGCGGTTTCTTCTATCTCTTCCGTTCTAGTACTCCTAATCGCTGCCTAAGTAGATGAGACCAAGCTCATCTTGTGTAGATGGAAGGCTTGCTGCTAATTAATCCCGAAAGGACGGAACTGCCACCCACTGCTTTTCTAGTGTATTGCAACTGGCAAATTTGACTTCGCTAAATGTATTGGTTCACACGAAACCCACGCTTCTCAAATTCTTTGGTCTGTGGACCCCTTTTTAGTGGAAATTCGCACGGCGGACCCCCTGAAATTTTGTTAATCGCAGAACTAGGTCTTAATAAAATGAAACTGGGGCGGAATGTCCTGAAAACGTCCATTGCTGTACACTAAATTAACACATGTTCATTGATGTTGGTGTAAGATAAAGTTGTATGTAGGTAGAAAAAACAACGCACCTTAACGCTTAATGTGTCGGACCAAATTCTTTCTGTCATACATCGCTAACTTTTTGGTATTTGGTATTATTGCATAAAGCTGTGACCGCATAACTTGTTCAGCTTCAAGTCTATTGCGATACTTTTTATGTATATTCCAATGCGAAAATCCATTCTCACGCCGATAAGTTGTGGCAAATGGGTGACACACGGCGACAGCTTCGTTAAGCCTCCGCCTGATCCAAGGACTCTTTGGAGGTCCGCGGAACACACTTTGAAAAATGCTGCATTAAACAACCAAATCGGCTGTTATATGAGCACCACCTTACGTGTTCAGTCGTTAGCGAATGGGCGCTCTTATACTTTTGATGTCAGGTGATCAGCGGGACTCCGTTTCTATTAGTGTTAATTACTTTTTTGAGGAGGTTGATCCTAAAGGAGCTTGCCCGTAGCAACCTTCGGAGCCGGTACTCTCGCTAGAAGTCCGAATCAGTTTGACCCTGACGCAGCCTGAAGATTATTGGACAGCCAATGGGAGCGAGCTCACGAAGATGATCTGCTTTGCTGCCCGCTAGTGGGCGCATTACTTCGTTAACCAACAAGTGCATTGTCAGGTGTCTCCTAGTTACTGAAATCTAGGAACTTCCAGCTAGCTCTTTTTTTATGAACTATTTATTTGACCCCATTATTTGCTTATACCTAGTGCTTGCCGGGTGTTCAATGACAGTTTTGCCACAGGCCTTAGTCTTCTGATCTGGGGAGTCGGACAGCCAAATTGCACATTAGCACCTGGTTGTCTGTACGATCAGCGGCAACCACAGCAGATTTCGGCGGCGGAGGTGAACAGAAGGAATTGTCAATCTTATCGGAAGCTCTGAACGCCCTTTTCGGTTAGGTTTGAAAACTACCAGTTGGGATAGTTTGTGGGCAACGTTTCGCTTTTGACACAAAAGCTTCATCATGCTGAGTGAACCACTTGAGGATTAGTATAGCACTTATAGCGAACTGGGATGATAATCGCGACGAATAGGATGTAGGCAGAAGGTTATTCGCGTTACAGGTGAACACATCACTACAAATGGCGCACGGAACGGTCACGAGTGGTCCGCGTTACAAGGTCACCCACGTAAGCCCTGTTAAAGATGGATGCGGGGATGATGTGGTGTTCATTCTCTGCCCTGCATCCGTCCGCCGACGATCCTCAGACTGGTCTGGTTAACACAGCTCACCACACACTCGAAAGCTCTGCCCCGTCCATTCTGTTCACGCAGCTGTTTACTTTGCTAATCTCAACCGCCTCAGCAGTCAGTCTTCGGGGACTTGATCACAATCCCTTTCTAACGATGTTGACGTTATCCAAATCGATCTCATGCCCTGTATCTATCGCGTACATCGCCACTGCCGAGCTCCTTAGTAGAGCCATATATGCAAGCTCGTTTCTCAGTGACCGTGTTATGCGTCTTGTGGTCTGCTATCCTTGTGCGTAGCCCTATGGCCGATCTACACGTGTGCGCAGTCTTTGCAACTAATTTTGTAGACCGAATTGGTTGTTCTATCTGCGAGAAGTGGGTCTTCCAAGTGCATTAGTGTAAAGG